AGTTTTGTTTGATTGTAAATGACAAACAATAGTTTTCTACATTATCGAAACTTAGATGTCTACAGTTAAGATAATTTTATGCGAGAAAATAATCATATAATCCAAATATGTATTTAGAGAACACTCAGTCATTTGTGTATTCATCAGTATGTACTTTCTACTCTTGTTTTCTAATCGAGAAAAAGGATCTCATTTGCTGAGCGAATATTTTAGAAATCTGTGGCACATCATGAAAGTACGAATTCTCTAACATGTGAAATAGATGAGTCATTTATTACTTATCGTAATAATTGACTTATGATCTTTGTTTAACTAGGCTGAGCTGAAGTGATAATGCTTCTGTTTTGACTGTCTTCTTGCTCTGAAAAAGTTCAGCATCAAATTTAAATAAAGAATGCACTATGTGGTTGTAGATAATGATGATATTTCCGGAAAGCGATGAGTTCATTGTATTTCAATACTTTCTCTTCAGCTACTTACGAACTTTTATTTCATATTATTTTCAGTTACTAATAATGTTAAAAGTTTATTAACAACCAATGACAACGAATAAGTTGGATGTATTATCAAAGGACTCATGAATAAAAGGACCTTGAAGTAATTCTTCCAGGTAACCATAATTACATGATAAAACTATGTTCAGAGTCTAAAACTATAGTATAGTTGTTCTAGAATCTTAACACAGATGCATTACTGAATATAACAAAAACGGCGAAAGCCTGAAATGAGAAAAATTGGATGTGAGAGATCAACTCTTTAAATAAAAATTGCAATTATTCGACAAAAAGAAGAGGTCAAAATAAAACCTAGCCTCAACTATCTAATTGCTACTGCTCAAGCGAATGTCAATAAAGTGGAATTGAACTATTGGTTGACAACTTTGAATGAATCCATTAAAGCAACTATGTTCTCTGTATTTCGTAGGTGGAGTGCTACTGAATGGTGTAATCAACTTTCTTGTCAGTGACAGGTTTTTTGGGATGTGTTGATTGAGATGAGTAGACGCTCACTCTTCAATTCTTCTAAAATACATGATTTTTTACGTACATATAAACTGATTTATGTGGTTGGATAGTCATTTTGATAAATTACTTTCATAGGTTTTGTATTTCACACAAAATCATTCTATTATTTACTAATGAGACACTATACAGAATGATTGTTCTATCGAATTCATTTTCTCATGATAGTCAATGAAACGCTGACAAGTATTATTAACTGAAGTGGTTTCCACAAGAATTTGATTTGAATAAATGTTTAAACGGAAGAGTGGATTTATTATATCACACATAACAGTACTCAAATTAATTGATTCATCTGTAATTTTGAATACAACTATTTTTGTTACATGTAAGTTTTTATTTTATATTAGGATGTCTATCAGAGATGTTTTTTCGTCATGCTTTTTTCCTTCTTTTAACAAAGCGGTTAACACAACAACAAGTACATTGCTGTAAAATGATTTAAATAATTAATGCGACAAAAGATCTATATCATTCCTATCGCTTTTTCTTGCTTCACATCTATATATGTTGCAGATTTACCATGTTATTTACGCATAAACATTTATTCTTTAATTCTCATCTATCCATGTTAATCAACAAATATATATTTGTCATAATCCCCTTGAAACAAATAATGTACACATTATTTTTAAAAGCTACTGTACACATATTAACTTCACCAACAAATTAAGCTTATTTCTCTGTACTTCTTTCTTTCCTCCCATCATCTTAACACAAAAAACGCGGGATAATTTACATTACCGTTTTGTTGAACATGCTAACTGCTTCTTGAATTATTCCTTTTTTTTCTTTGCGTTAATAATTTAGGTAAAAATAGTTTTATTTAAGTTTTGATTTATACGAAAAGTGAATTGGAAAATACATAACATTTTATATTAATACCTACATATATTGCAAAAATATTTCGATAATTATTTATCCATATAGTGTTTGTTAATGTTTATTAATTAAAATTAGTTAAATGACATACTTTTTAATTAAAAAGAAAACCTATTGGTATTAGCATTCAAATGAAAAGTAAGTGAATAGTGTCGTTCAAGTTGATTACTGCTTGATATTGAGGTTCAGTTTTGAGAAATAGATTCACACATACCGGAACCGCAATGGCAATATTACTTGCAAGTGGGTAAATGACGGCATAGTATGTGATATTTTCTAGTCATTCTCAATTTCTGAACTAGTGTGACTGTTCTCTACCAAAGTGAAAGTAACATGTTTCGTATTTTAACATTGAATGATCCTGCAATTCTTAGCTGTCCGACAGTTTTAGCGATTATCTTGAAAGTATCTTATCCTTTGTATAACTAAGGGTTTTAACAAAGAATAATGATACAACTAACCAAGCTAGTTTAATTTTGTAATTATTTTCTTCTATTTTGAATACTCATTATGTGATATGTCAGTGTTATCGTGATTAGTTAACAATCATATTGTAATTGAAGAGTATCTTCAATATGATTCTTTTAACAGAATGTCAAATCAGATATATTTCGGAGGTTTTAAAATATCTGATGATAAATTACTCGAAATTCTACCTATCCTATATAGCATAGTCGTCTATGACAGCTGACAAAATCCTTTCAGAATATTGACAGAATAATTCAAAATGATTTTTTTCTCGTTTGTTTTAAGATTTATAGTGTTTTATGAAGTGTTATGATTCAAATAACAACCAAATAAAATCCGAATGACACCTGCATTTTGATCAAATACTCGTCTCCACTCTACTTTAATTACTCATCAACAGATAATGTTTTGTACTCACAACTAAATATTTCCAAAAACCATTTTCATCGCCACATTGTCTACGAAAAGCTTTCCATTCACACAATAACAACCACATAAACGTAAATAAGCAACAAACATGTAGATGATGACAGAGAAGTGTGGTGTGTTGAAAATATTCTGTGAATACCAAGTTTCATTAGCACTTATTATTACTGAAAAATAATGAACGTTTTACAAGGAAGAAATAAGTTTGATTCAACATTCAGACGCAGTTTGTTCATCGTAAGCATAATGTTTGATCAACTAAATTCCTAATGTCCAACACTGAACATATTTCATTTTCATTTTAAAGCAAACAAACTTGTCATTACGTGAGTGTGCATTAATTTGACGGTCAAACAAATGAGACCGTATTGAAAGAGTTAGTTTGTTTAATTGTCCTCACTTCATCAGATTGGTATATTTGTAACTCATTCATTTCATAAATCAACATGTGGCTTTTTATTCTTTCTATGAGTAAATTTTGAGACAATAAACCTGATAATTTACCATATACATACATTTAGGTCATTAATAAATGAACAATTTTTGCTTTAATACTGTTATGTATAGAAACAAATCATGTGATTTATGATTTCACACATTAATTATACACCTTCATGAAAACAATCCTTTATTTATAGATCTGTGAACATCGTTATTTACTGACTAATTTGTCGTAAGAATGTTTTGTTGTTTCTGTCTAGCATAACTATTTAACTGGCATAGTTTTAAACATGAATGTCATATTATTTTATGATATGTGTCCTTTCTTCTCTTTTACAGATTTCAAGGAGAAGAGTTTCATGTTTAACATTATTTATTGTTGTCCCCTTATACTGCAAGTTTCATTTCTAATAAATTAAGAGAAGTAAATCCTTAGAAAATGTGTTATTTAAGGATATAAATCTTCATCAGTAAGTTGAAAGTGAAAAATATATAACATATTATTATAAAACAGCAAATAAAATCACAGTCATGAAGAAACCAGAGTAATAAATTATCCACATTTTCCACACATATTTCTTTTAAGTAAAAGTTTGTTTTATGTAAAACATTATCATTAAACATTACAAACACAGGTAATTATGAGTATTGGACTCATTTGTTTTCGTTTGCATCATTGAACATAGTTGCATAGAAGTTTAAATGTATTGACGTTCCTTTTCTTTTCCTTCTTTTCGTATAATTTGATATGACAGCAGTTCGATGAATTCAAATAATGGCATGTTTTAAAAGAAAGCCTAAAAATAACATGTCTGATGATGCGTTTGTGATAGCCTATCTTCCAAACATCTTCATTAAATGTCGTTTTAAGTAAATTATATAAACGTTTCGTAAGTATATTGTTCTCTTTTCAAGACTTTAATTTTAAGCTTGTATAACAAATGTATTAGTGACACCACTATTTCATCAGAGAGCACTTAGTAGCAAGAATAGAGTCCAACAGATAGACATCATCAACATAGAGCTCATCACATAAATGCCTGAGACAAAATTGCCATACCAGATTAGAACAATGAGATGAAATTAACTGAGATAATATAGTAACAATGATAAAAAAAAGACTAAACCTTGAAAATTTAAAATGGAAAGGATATTAGGATTCAAGATCGAGAGGAATATAAGAAACGAACATATCTACAATAATGTGAATGATTCTGGGTAATATCATTTATTCTTCAACTACCGATCGTACTAATCAAGAGAACCCGGACCATAAAGTGAAGTTGATGGGATGAAATAGGCATGCTGAGGTGCTTTGAAACGTGGGTTTTACTTTATATTTTAAACTAATTAGTCACATTAACAACAAATAGTCTGATTAATACTTATTAATATGACCAGCTGCTTTGAAAAAAAAGTCCATTATACAAAAAAGTTCGGAACAAGGGTGAAAATACATATCGTGTGAGACATAATTCGCCTAGTGTGATTGTAAACTACAAATTCAAAGTGTAACAAAGTACTCACTGTAATCGTTTTAACATTTTGAAGTAAAAACCATAAATTACCTTATCCCGCTTTCTGGTATATTCAAGACGATTTTCACTGTACCTATTAAATGAATATAAGAGATGGATAGGATAGTATGACTGTCAAAAGCAAACAGCTTCATAAGTCCTTCATAAACTTTACTTTTATTCTTTATTGATTAGCTGCTATCTAATATATAACCCTAAAACAAAGCTGAACAACTGGATTATATTTTCTGAAATATATACCATGCTAGTTGGTCAATTGTTTTGTTTCTGAATAATCATTTGGTTGAAGTTTCAATTTCCGTTCCATGAATAAATCTCTATTTCATTACTTTACACTGAAGATTATCGATTATTAGTCGTTTCCATGTGTTAAAAATTAACAGATTTTTCATAACAAATGAAAACTTCGAATATATTAACGAGGTGAATGAGGTGGTAAAACAAGTCCGTAATCCAATTGTACTTCATAACCGAGCTGAAATCTACCAAAATTAACAACGAAATTACATCTGCTATCAAAATATTAGTGAATCCAGAATGTTTGTTAAGAAAAATTATTCAAAATAAACTATAAATTACATTGATGATTATTTACATAACCAAAGCTATTAATGGGCAGTTTACAAACTGGTAGATGAACATGAATCTTTAGAAGCGGCAGTTTTCATTTTCCACGATTTTATAAGCGATGGCCATAGAAGTTCAGCATTAAAGCATGCAGGACACGGAGTAGACAAAGGTATCAAGTATGATATTTTCGAATGATCAGACACAGTATCAGTCTGAGTCATATAGTTTGCTAAACATAATAAGTGCCACCGACCAAGAGGACAAGAATTTGGACAAGTAAGTGGTACTGAAGAATCAACCTGAATTTTGAAAAATATGAGTAAAACAACCAATCAGAGTTAGGAACAAGTACGAAAATTATAAAGTAGTAACAACCATTTATGACAACAATAGAATAGAGAACGTTGAGAACACTCATTCTTTGACAGAATCATGGAATTTGACTATCTCTAATTTACCCGTTACTCATAAAAGCTAAATCTACAGTCATCTTATGTATTTGTCATGCTAAAATTAGCGTTCGAAGGAAATGCGTCCTTATTTTTAATTCCAATGAAGCTACATCAACTGTACACATACGTGAAAAAAATAATATCAGGAAGTGGTTGGGTGAGTGGATAGTATACAAATTAATAGAGATTTAAAGAAGGACGATATGAATGAGCATCCAACATTTTAACTGATTTTGAACGAATGCCTTTATTCTTTACGAGTTTGATAGTCACAACCTGGAAGTTTAAACTCATCCATATATGTAAGAACCTGACTGCCAGCCACTTGCAATACCAGTATCCTCCACTAGTTCAAACAATGTGAAGCTTTTGTAGTATATTTCTACCACATTTAGCTCAACACTTTGAGATAAATAGTCAACATACATTTATAAGAATTCATAAATACTTCAGTCTATAGTTAAAATTTCAAAAACTACTTCAAATCAGATTGTTTAACTGGTGACCTCACTTCACCTAAACATGTCTGCATATAGGCTATCAAATCTTTGTTAAGTTTTTAAATCTCATATTGTATAAGTAGAAAGATGAGTACTGATGGAAGTTGAAGTCAGCCTTTAAAGAGTCACTACTTATTTCGTTAACTTCAAAAACAGAAAACTGTGAATAAACTACATTATTCGTATCAAGAAGTATAATTCAGTGAGATAAGGTTAGAAAGACAAAGGTAGAGGTGCTGACGATTCCAGAAGATTAGGATTTGAGAGAGCACAACGAATGGATGCACTTGCGCCATTGCAAACGATTTTGAGCCATGTCGTTCAAGGTCTCTAACCATCGGTAACTTTCGTCTCGCCGACCCCAACCAGGTAGTCTACATCTACCAACATGACTCAGTCCACTTGTCAGTGACTTCATGGATTTGTGCCATGTTTTGGTCTGGCCACCCCTAGCTTATTTATTTATTTATAATTGACTAGTAATTATGGTAAACAATATCTTTTCAGAAAAGGATGATGTTTTACCCTAAAATACATCACTAAATCATATGCAAGTGGTTTTGTCTTAAGTTAGGTGATATTTTGAGGTAAAAAGATTTGGAGCTGGAGCTGCCAATTATAAGTGGTGTCCATTTCTGTATGGTCGGATGAAGTGCGTTTCCGATTATCACATAAATTTTACTCAGCTGTGTCAGAGCTGCATGTATAAGAGCTAAATTCAAGTAATAAATGGATACTTATGCCGAATATTGTTTGTCATATACGACCACAATGTTTAAATAAGAAAGTTTGATGCGGTTTGCTGCTCAGACACAACTTCAGTTGACAAACCCAAACCAAATACTCGAAAATTAACGAGGTTCATAAATGGCTTAGGATTAATTAACATGTACTTCAAATTAATCTCCCTTATCAACAAACATAGTAAACAAGCAGTCACGTAGTTATCGTTACAAAACATTGTCACTATCAGATTTAAGAGTACATAACCGTCACATAGAAAGTACACACAAACCAAGTCTTTTGCCAGTAATATAGTTAGAAAGTCGAAAAAAATTGGAAAGTAAAACATTATTTTACTTAGGTACTTGATGATGGGATATGCTGTACATGAATGGTAGTGTGTCATTCTTTCACTGATTAACTTCTTCGTAAACTGACTTCAGACTTTATACGATACCGGATGTCAGCTAAAAGTTAAGATGTGAGACGGAGAAATGTATGAAGTAAAGCAGTGCATCAGTCACCTGCGGGCTCAACTTCCAGCTACTAGTTAGAAGGTTTAATCTACTTCAGTTTGGGCTACATCGATATCCCTAAGACTTGGAGTGTGGTTTGAAACCAAGTACACGAGTCTGCAACTCGTAAATTAATGATGTACAATTCGAAACTAAAACAAATCTTCAACAATCATAATTATTTTAATACAGAGATTGATAAACAATTTCTTCAATAACTGCAAGTACAAATGCCTACATTTCGATATAACATGGGAAATGTTCACGAGGCTACGACTACACACTAACAAGATATTCTCAAAAAACCAGTCACATATTCTCCCAATTAGTAAAGCATCAATGTTAAGCTACTTAAATTTCCTAAATTTCTGAAATTCGTCACTAATAATTATGAATACTTAGTTAATGGCGTCAAGACTTCTTATTTATAAATGACGTAAAACCATATTGTAATGATGTACATAATTAGAATCTTTGACCTAACGAAAATAGTTGTTTTAATTGTAGGTTCTATTTATAATTTCAGTTTTTTATCATACGGTTGTAGTCAGTCAGCTATAGCATAGAACTTCGTACGTAGATACATATACAGTTCGAGTAAGCAAATTGACATTCAATAAGTTTATTCGATAAATTAGGTCACTTACTGAAAACGGAATGTTACACACTTGACAAGAACCGAACGATACAATCTCAGGACTAGAATTTTCTGGACAGTTAGGTTCAATGGGTCCAAATGCTATTGGCATATGTAGAGGAGGCACTATATTTTCTGATAAAGTACGTGCATATGACTGTTTAATCCAGTGAATAGTTAGGCCCAGACGGTTCCACGGTCCTGTACATAACATCAATGCTAAAACGCGCAAACGGTAGTCAAAACTAGTTTCTCTTGGTTTTTTAACTGGAAGAGAATCTTTGAGTCGACGTGATAAGTTGGGATTTTGCCATGCCCATTCAAACTGGAAACAAGGGTAAGATATATGTGCACTTTTTATAACTTACTCTTAATGCAGATATTGCATTTGGGAAACCATAAACAATCAAAACCATTTCCCTGAAGAAAATTATTCACGAACATAATTCTAACCATGGTCCTTTGCCAGTAGTGGACTTCGCCCCACCTTTAAAGCAACCAGCATTATGCTGTCCTATCCGTCTCTTAGGATTAACCGTAAAACCGATGTAAGTTTTACCACGGAACTTTGGATTGAGTGACAGTAGAATATAGCAGCCATAAAAAAATCCTTTAAAATCTTCTTCTTGAACGTCACTATCATCAAAACACTCAAAACCATCCATTCTATGCAGGCTGAATAGCTAGGAAACAAATTAGGGAAGCTATATTATGGTCATGAGATGAAATAAATTAAAATAAATACCAGAAAAAACGAAATAAAAGCAGTGTCGATAACAGGTTATCTTTCCAAAAAGCAGGCAAGTAAAACATTCAAAGCCAATGAAATAAAGAACGAGGCCTAACAATTAACAGATTTAATAAATTAACTGTCATCAATTTGTTTTTACGTTATCGTTTTACGATATCGGTTGATTTAGTTATTTGGATGAAAGGAAAGTAAAACATGGCTGTGAGAAGCCCATTATTGCAAAACAAATTTATGTCACTCAATGTTTGTTTTATTTTGATGGTAGTTGAGAAAGTGCTATACCGTCTGTATTAACAAAGTAAGGTGACAGCTGTGCCTAGTATTTGGATGTCGAAATATACCTGCATGCCAATAAAGATGTTACTAAAGTATGTAAATCGCATAAGTGAATAAAGTATCGTAGAATGCGGATACAATTGTGAACAAGGTAGATTTTGATAGTATTACTTGAATGTACAAACTAGCTCAGTGATTCCTTAGACTATTAAGAGTAAAACTAGTTTTCACGGACATATCAAGAAAGGCACTACTGACGAAGACGAAAATGTATTACTTTTACTAAGAAGAAAGCAAACAGGTATCATTTACAAATGACGCTTTATTAGTAAATAAAAAGTTGTTGAAACTTGATTATATTGTCTAAATAGTTAAGATAGGACGTAAACATACTGAAAGGTTCAATAAAGTTTACTGATTTCATCATCAGTTTGATAACATTGAGGGCAGTTCAATTGATATTAGGATTTTAATTAGACTTATGGGTTCTAAGTAACATATAAATGCCATCGCAGTAAGCTGCTTGAAAGAGGAGCAAATACTGTTTTGAAGATAGGTAAGGTAAATTCGTACCAAGTACTGATGAAGTTAAAAAAAAATTAAGGGTAACACAAACAAGTATTACAAGGGAATTGTGCAAGGGATTTTTACTTCACAAGCCTCAAAATTATCGTTTAATAACAAATTGACTATTAAAGTACTCTTTGGGAGTGTCATTTAGAAATGCTATGAGAGTCAGTCAGTTACGACGAAGAACTTTGTACGTACGTACATCAGTTCAGACCTCGGGTTGCTGCTTTTACTCTCACCGTTCTCCACTCAACCTACCTGGCTTAGTAGAACGTATAGGGAACAATATTCCAGCCAATAAGGCTCGGTAGGGTTATCACGATAGGCAAGCCCGACAACCACACCAAGGCAGTGGCTGCAGTCGGGCTATGAGAGTAAGTAATCATTCTATCCTAACTTCAGACTTGGAAGATTACGACTACGGCACAATGTGGGCCAAAATTGTCATTAAAAATAAGTTGAAAAAATACTAGATTTCTTAAAAATATAGTTAGCACTTCGGTTGCATTTTGCAAGGCAATCTAAAAACATAATGCATAAGTTTTTAATGTTTAGATTTTTAAAATTAACCCAAGTAAGGAATTAACCTTTAAGCTGGTACAACAGCCACAAAGACTACTTGTACGACCTAACAAATAAGAAAACAGCAGAACAGATATGGTTGGTACTAAAACTCCTGGGGATGATGATACGAATGAGTCATACTTCATGAGTATTAATGTGAAGCTTAATTTGTGAATACAACACATTAAAAAATATTTGCTGACAATCAGTTTAATTATGGATACTAAACCACATTTCTAGGTTCACTAATCTACTTCTTCCACATTTCATTCGCACAGACACACGAAACTAGATCTGTTTGCTAAGCGTCCTTCAAAAATCAAACTGGATGACACGATTATGAATACATTCAATAACCAATATCTTTTTGGTTAACTGAGACAAACCGATTGAGTTTTTTTCTCTCAATTCTTGTTCTTTCGGTACGGTTCTAGGTATTTAGTTTGTCCATCGGATGGTAGTCCAGACACTCGAATGCAAATATGAGTGGGTTTGGAAGTGCCGTGATTACCAATACCCATTAGCTTTTTCACGAGCTAGTATAAACCAGTTGATTTCTTTGCGATCGATTCTTGTTCTTTCGGTACAGTTCCAGGTGTTTGGTAGTGTCCAGTCGATAGGGGTTTAGCCACTCGACTGTCTAATTCTAGTCAGAGGGCAGTTGGTTGTGAGTTTGTATGTCCCGTGATTTGAATGAGTACGTTTGTTTGAGAGCAGTAGAGTTCCTGGATACCAGCAGCTATCATATAACCAATCCTGAGTTCAGTAAGTCTTGACGTAGAAAATAATAAGGAGACAAATTCTAATGCTAATGAGAAGAATTCAGAACTATTCAAACAAATGAATAAATCGGTTCATTAATTGATTGTGAAGATCGTGTGAGAGGACCGAAGTGTAAGCTGATGAAGGGCTATACGCGAGACTTATTAAGTCAGTGATCTCAAGAAATTGCAATAATAACAACTAGCGAGGTTCGGGAAGTGCATTAGGCATAGCTGATCCAAGACGGAAACGATAATCCATTTGTGAGTAGGTGTATACCAAGTCTCTTCTTGAGGTTATCCACTGAGAGAGCTTTGGTCGCACTGAGAGTTACCTTGAAGCGCGTGTAACTGAGATGATTTGGCGTGCGCCACTATCAGGACACCATTGATAACTCAGTTTTTTGGAGAAAATGATCCTAATTGCTTGAGTCAATCTTCGTTAAGTTTGTTCTTCAACACTATCATTAATTTATTTGCTCATCTCTTTACTCGATCTATGAGATTTGTATTTCTTTTAGGGAGAGACGACGCGATAACTTTGTGAGCTTCTTTATCAAAAACACTAATGAACCGATTGATTTCTTTGGGCTCATTTCATGTTCTCATTCAGATACTAGTTCTTATTATCATTCTTGAAGCATGAAGTGGCTATGTGTATATTAAATAATTTTATAGAGGCAAATCTGGTCGTATAAGCTGGGACAGCCATAATAAAAATTGGTAAAACCTCATCTGTATCTTTGTTTGAGATCTATGGTTTCTTTTGTCCACCCTTCCTTGCTACGGTTGGAGAGTTTCTTGATGCTTTTATAAATTTCAAGTACATGAAGAACCAAATATTACTAATTTCTGCTTTGTTATTCATAACAGAAAAGGTAGTTTTCAATTTATGGCGAAAATTCATCAGTTGCTGTCTTAGTTCCGACTGCTTCGCTCAATTTACCACCTTTGTCAAGTTTATATACGTGGATCACATAATAACAGTGATTTCGATAGTAGAATATCAAATTTTAGTTTCATGACCACAACAACAGCTGGGAAATGTTCTTTAAAATCCAACAACTAAAATTAAATAGTGCATCTCAGTACCATTACCTACCTTCCTGACAGGTTTGAAAGACCGTGCTGAAGGCAGAATTCGAATATCAAGTATCAAATATTGCTCGCCTTTCCCATTTTATCTCTTCTCAGGACCATATCATCAGTGAATAACTTGATGTTTCTACGCACATTGCACCTTACGTACTCTGTCATCAAGGCACTGGTTTGTATCAATCGCCTTCCAATTTTTTAACGAATGCAGTTCTCCCTTGCAGATTTTCCCGAAGAAAGCCTGCTGTGTAATTTCCCTATTTGTAATAACTTGTTTGAAACATGGCTTAATCGAACTGTTCATGTTGATGGAAAAGCGTTATCGTGCTGTCGGTAAAGCACTTATTATTCATTAGAATGAGCAAACTTTTACATTAAATGTGGTAGCTTTTTTAACAACTTGATCCTACCTGTAAACAAGGATGCCTCATATAAGACACTGATATTTAAGAATCAATTATTAATACTCGTCTCATTCTATCATATTGTCACTGACGAAGTGGCTGTATTTGCTAATCAGATTTTGGAAAACACCAAAACGTCTAGCTCCGCGGTTAGTGCTCTGAAACTAACACCTTAAAGACTCTCAACGAAAATACAAAACTCTATAATACGATCATCCGTTTTCTGAACCTGCAGTCTGGTAATTCACGATTAAAATCCTCAGGGAAAATCCCATTTCGAAAAATATGTCTTGGTAATGAGAAAAACATAGGCTGAATTATTGTCGGAATCACATCATTTACAGCGAATCTTGAAAATGATCAGAAAACCCTGCATTTCCGTGGCCTTAAATCTTCTGTTGCAATTATTCCAAGGGACGCACTTACGGCGTGAAGTAATGACGAATGTAGTCAGTGAATGATGATGAATGTTCTTCACCCCGTCAATATTGTTGCAGATGTAAGTGTCCTTCCAACAAACACAAACGATCGTTTATGAGTTCGACTTTCTGTCTGTGTGTAGAAAATGAGAAATTCGTCACCACATTCAGATAAAGGTACCTTCACCCCTTGTGAGTTTACACATACCCTTTCGGAAGGGTCTTCGTAATGATAAAAGTTACAATGCCAGTCACTGGTTTAGACCCCCTACATCGCCATAATTTATTCATGAACCCAAGCAAACGAAGGCTAATCGGTATTAATACTATATAATTTGTAGGGCTTCATTTGCCAGCTGAAATTTATGCACACTCATGATAAAGCACATAAATGATCTGTTATTTCAAACTCTGTCTGAGCCCACATCGAGTGGTATTAGTCTTGAACTTCGATTCTTCCATTTTATACGATGAATAACTCCATCTCACCCGATATGGTTTGATAGCACCAGCAACGGCTTCTCACTAGAAGTGTGGGAATTTCCTCACGAAGCTAGTCACTTGTGTGCGTATGATAATTGCCATTTGAGCGTTGTGATGACGTCGTTTTTAGAGGTTTCACCTTTGTATGCGCTTATCTTGACTGATGTCTTGTCTCACGTACGGAAAGAGAATATCAGTTCCAGTATCTGGACCTTATTTCCAACGAATTCAAAAGCACACTAATGTTAACAGAAAAAATGTCATATCGGAACTGATGGTCTCAATTTTCTCAGAGATATTAATGACGCTCACAGTATTTGCCCACTAGAAAATAAATCGGTAAATGAGTTGAACTGCTCAAAGTGACCAACAATGAGCTGTTGCACAAGTTCAATAAACTGGCACGTTTACGCTGACGGTTCATAATAAGTCGCGCGTCCCTCATTTATACTTAACCGAATATCTACATGGAAACGCGAAAATCGCTAACTTAAATGACGCCAGCAGGAAAGCATTTATCATATTGATGGTACATATCATCAAGTCAACTATGCTGGCCCAACTCAACACCAAGGCATCCATGAGTATCACAGTAGATGTGTCTGACTCAGCAATCGGATGTCTTATAGAAATGGGTGAACAACACTTGGAAACCAACGACTTTCTTCCTGAGACCAATTCAAGACACGAAATAGGCAAAATACAATACATTCTTTTGGGAGTTTCAGACAAGAACTCTTACTAAGAGTCTCGGAATTTGAACTACATCTCAAAGTTCACTTCAGATATACGACATATTTTTGCTGCGGAGATTGTAGATTCTCGAGCCTAGTCTCATCACATGACATACCATCAGCATCTGCTGTCTGAAGGCCTCCTACTCACAAAGAAACCAGATCTTTGTCGACCTCTTCAACACACTATGAAATCACACACTCCTCGCGGCCACGATGCAATTCCCAACAAGCATTTATCACAATAGAACTTCCTTGGAATCCAATAAGCTACCTAAAAACTACGTGGCCTGAAAGATCTGTGTGATTCTCAGCGGATCTAAAGGAGCACAACATGTAAGACATCTTAAATGTTCATTACTTATGTATCTTCTCACCTGTATTCTACAAATTCTTGTCTGCATTTTCAATTTCCTTTATGTGGAGAATAAAAATGTTTTATGTACGAACGTATATTCACGCAAAAAAACAGGTTAAAGTACCTGTGCTGTAGTTATAACTATCTCAAGTTTTTACGAGTAAAATCGAAAACATTTTCATGCGTTATTTTTCTCGCTGCTTGAAGGGTGTTACTGGCATATAAACCAGGTTTCTTCTGCGCTATCCACTCAAAATAATTTGAATGCCCTTCAACATGAACAAACACTCACCTTTTCTTCTCCTGGACGAATGGTTAGGTCGGGAGACAGAAGAGAGACACAAATAAATGACAATGAAATTAATAAAGCAAGCAGTCAGAAAAGTGTGTACCGACGTAGTAGTCACGTATATGGCTAATCACAATGTTACTGCATGGAGTGTGCAGTAACGGCAAATCCTTTTCATTCCTCAATCCCGTTTTGAATCGGCCTTGAGCATTCTCGATCTAAAAGATGTTAGTAACACAGTAGTTGTCCATCTCCGCATACCCTTGATATCTTTACTAATATGCAGCTAATTATTTTATGTACATTGTAGGTATTTTTTATGTATCCCGCAGTAATTATTGTGACAGAAATTTGGATGAAAATCGAGAGAGTTCTAAAATGCCTTTTCGAACAGTTGTTGATGACTTCAAAATGTTACTTTACTCAGTATCGATAAACTCCAGTTTCCGGTGAAGCGATGTCCTTTCTCCAGTAATTTTAAGATATGGCAGCTATACAGGACTCCGGATTTACAAGTATTTAGGTGTCGGTTGGCACTTTGTTGAGATCAGGTTTATCTTATGTTGCTCATGTACTTTACTAACGTGGGTTTCTGAAGTAACTTCAGAATAATAATTTTTTCACTAAATGAGTAAGGCTGGTGTGCATTTTAAATTTATTTATTTTATAGATACTAGGGTTAGGAAATTGCAAGTCATTATGCCAGTATACTTTTTGTAATATACTATTTTGTCACAAAGATATTGGTGGAGGCTGACAGTAGATGATCACTAGCAAACAGTGAGAAATATCACTCAGAATGCTCTCCTAGACAATGTACCTCAGTCACACCTTACACTCTGAAATAGAAGAACATGCGCTAGGCGAGGCACTGAACGCTTACCTCAGGCGAAGAGGAGATCTTGGCACAAGTGGAAGGTCTTTATGAAGGATTCTGATTTTACTTCCTACTTGGCATTCAGGAGCAGATGCAATAGTAAAGTTCGAAGTGATAGGAGAAGATTTCAGATGAAGCTACCTGCAAAATTATAGACAAAACCGAAGTATCTGTTTAGGTACATGACATGAAGATAACCTACGAATCAGGGTTTCTGCTCTCTTCAAAGATCCGATTGGGAAAGTCCTTACTAACCTGGAATCGGCTGAGATCTTCAAAACAAACTTCACCGATCTGTTAAACCAGGGATTCACATGTTCAGAGTACTACGCAAACCGAGTGCCAGCTGACGGCTTGGGTAATATTCGTTATACTACTGACTTGGTGCTACGGAAACTAAAATGCTTCGTCCATGAAAGTGACCAGGCTCTGACAATATTCGCACCATAGTTTTGAAACAATGTACAGAAGCCCCCTGTCCACTAATATGTGACATGTTCAAGTATTCACTGGATTCACATAAACTCCCAGCCGAATGGAAAAGAACTGCTCTCTCCAATCTTCAAAGGAGGAGATTTAAAGGACCCAGCCTGTTACAAACCAGTTGCAATAATACCAATACTATCAAAGGTAATGGAAGGGCTGGTGAACGAACAAATGAGGGATAACATGGATAAAAACAAAATACTCCATGAAGCTCAATATGGGTTTCAGGAAGGCATCTAATATTCTCAGAGCATGGGACAGTTGGACATCCTGTTTGGACTGAAGAATACCGGTGCACCTAATAATTCTCGATTTCGAAAAAGCGCACGCACGCCTAATCGCAAAGGTTTCACTGACCCGCTCGTATCTTGGCCCAGTAACTACCTTGAGAACAGAAAGTTTCGAACCAGGGTAATTACAGTGTGCGAGACCTGGCTAGTATACACATGGAGAGTTTCACAGTAGACCATCTTATGTCCACTTCTCTTCCCGATATTTATTAACGACCTGTTCGGCTTAGTTAGCTCACCTGGATTGTTCTACGCAGTCGATGCAAGGTTATGGAGGTCCATTAGAAACGAAGAGGATTCGACTGAGCTTCAAAGGGACCTTGCATCTATTTAGGAATGGGCAGTGAAAAACGGTCTAAGACTCAACCAACCGAAGGGTCACGTCACGTACATTCTTCCCCACATGACGCAAACGACTTACACCCTCAATAGATGTCCACTCCCTAATGTCTCCTCAGTTCGCGATCATGGTTTTATAACCACAGAAAGCCTCCACACCTGCTCGAACTATATAGGGAAAGCAGCCAAGGCAATTCAAGTCTGTTTTTACGAGAAGAAAACTTTGTGCTATCACCCCACATTTATTCTTAGCGTTATTTAAGATATGTACATACCCTTACCTGGAGACTTATGACTTCGTCACTCGTAAATCTCTTGGATCGACTGGAGAGACGTGCAGCGAAATTGGTGATAGGATTGAAGAACAAATCTTACGAAAATAGACTCCAGAACTAGGGATTATTTCTCCTGATTTAAAAGAGACTCAGAGGTGATCTGGTCACGGCGTACAACATATTAAGCACGCCAAACCATTCTGACATGAGCATCTTACCGATGCATCACAACCACTCCCCTCGAGATAAAACTAGAAAAATTGCGCATCAAAGAGCGATTACTCAAGTTCGTGCACACGTTTTCTAATTGAGAGTCATCGGAACTTGGAATGCTCTCACAGCCATGAAAAAATATTGGATATTGGATTGACCAAAGGCCAACTTTCATTTCATTGTGGATACATAATTTGAGTTCGTTGTGACATTTTGAAAAATTCCGATATGTTAGCATTCGGTGGGCAGACGGAGAATTCTACCCACATACGTGACATTCTGAAAACTGAAACTCCCCAACTGAACAAAACAAAGCGCAAACTAGGATTGAGAGATCTGAATATTCAGCATCATGTTCCTGTGCAAGCAGAAATAAAGCAACCATCTAAAGTGCTGCTGAATGAAAATGTATATGAAGAAGCACGCGAGAATTTCTATACATACGAAGACAAAGGTTTTTCTAATTATGTGGAACTCTGTTTATTCTAGATGACTATGGTGATTTACACACGCGGCTTGCTAGCATCAGCTCACTGGTTGATGGAGTGATTTCTCTTTCTTGTATGAATCGATCCACAGGTTTCATGGAATTTCCAACAATTGGTAAGGTCTGTTGTTTTGAACTCATAACGGTAGACGATCGTGATGAAGTTGATCCGTCGGATTTTGAAATACCAGATTCTGAATTTAATACAATATTCGGTTGTCTTGGCTAGAAAATTACTAAGTTTTTCGGTTTCATTCTTTTTCGGAAATACGTAAAACATAGACACCTTACCATTGGTTGTCACTTTTAGTTTAGTTTGTGTCCACCCAGCTTATTCATTTGTACTGTTTACGCCTGTCTACCCGTTTTGAACATAATTTTAAATAAATTGTCCTTGCTTATCTAGTGTGCTGTGCAGCCTTCTTAGTATTATGTTATCCATAGAGCAAGTGGGAGACCTGATTGTTTTACACAAGCTAAGCTTTTATTATAAAGCTGCTTCTGCCTCCTTAATTATGAGGTTCGTTGATCTCAGTCCTTTTCTCAACCGTGGCTTTAGTCCTCCCGTTATTTCGTGCCATCGAAGATTCTGTGCTTATACTTAAGTTGTTCACAGCTAGGCTTTTATGCCATTCGAAGTTTAGCTAACAGATAGTTTTGCTTCAGGTTGTGATATTTTTCTGTAATCATTTAATTTAGATTATTTACTGAACAGTAAATTAAAGTCAACTACTCGCGATGGGAGACATAATCAAAACGGAAAAGAAACTTACTATTATTTATAAAACCGTGCGAACGCCAGTCTTTCATATTCTTTCTCGTGTGTTATACTGTTGGTCTAGTTCTCTATTTGTAAGTTATGGAATGAATAAGTATTAGGCCTAAAAAAATTTGTAAGGTTCTTTTTATAGTCCTGATCGAATCTCTTTCAATCACTACAAGAACTCAAATAACCTTTGTACACAAATACCAGTTATGTACTTAAAACTCGGTGACTGTGGTGTCCCCATAAGTTTACGGTTATTAACATCATTTTAGTCGCCCTAAGTAACGGATTTCAGATCATATTAGCTTTGCCTAATCCTATGTTTCAAAATGCACTGGACTTCCTTTGAAACGTTTATCAGACTTTAACCATTCTATAAATTCCAAAAAGATAGAAATAAGACAGACTCTGGAGAGAATGTAACCATTAGCGTTACCAAAACAGGTAAAAAGACAAGGTAAAACAGGTGTTTAAACTCTAATACTCTCATCTAACTGTTTTCTAATTGTAAAAAGTAGTGGATTTTTAAAGCTTTATCTGGTTGTGTAAGAAGACAAATAGTTTGATTCTAACATATAATTTTTGAGTTTTGGGTTATTTCAGATCTTTAGATTGATTCTAAGACTTACAACCAGTGGGAATTTATGTGGTATCTGTTATAGTTGGTATTCTTTTATAGTGATTTTATGTATGGGTTTTTCTGTCCTGTCATAACTATTAAAAATCCACTAGGAAACAATTTAAAATGGGGTTTATTGCGGAAGTTCTGTTCACCTAAAGAATTAAATTATAAACTAAAGAATCATTTGTGCGATCTAGGTTTTCGGAAGTTACTTTCACTTCAACTGAACAGCTGTGCTGTTAAGTTTGTTATTCGAGTAAATAAATCTTGAAATATGGCGAATTTGCGTGGATTTTTTAACTCCGATAAAAGCATCGTCTCACGACTTGTTAGTATACAACACTTTTATTATGGCGTCATTAGAATTCCTCAACACGTTAGCTTCATTTATTGACAGGTGTTTTTGGGATACATCAGACAAACTTTCACAACTAGTGAAAATTCCTGTAGAAACTGTTGCCTGCTCTTCCAGATGTTCTTCCGAATACCTGTCAAGCTTCAGGTATGACGCATACTGATTTCACTGTCATGTTAAAATTTGGGTTGTGGGTCACATAGTTCTGGCTACCAATGAAATTTATTTACTGCTTGTATAATAATGTGGTTGGTGATGGAGTATAGAGTAAAAAAAGCATAACCAGTCAATAAAGTTAAAACGGAACAATAAGAGTCCACTTCAGTATTCTTACCACACAGCATTTAAGAAACCTGTCTTTAGTGCACCCTCCGTACGAATGGCAACCCTAATAAATTCACCGAAAGGCGTCCACTGAATCAATATACCGTCTAAAACCGACCCTGAAGACCGAGTGATTTCCAATCGTGCATGAAAAATGTCTCAGAAACTAGTACATAGACTCTGGAGCTTTTCAGAATCAACGTCGTTCACAAATCAACGCAGTCACTTCATCCTGTTCTATGCAAACCAAATGACAATAGTAAAAAAGACAAATCTAGTATCTATAAAAAAATCGCATCGACCTCGAGAAACATAAGCGGATGTTCACTTCACCTATGCATAGATGGATATCTATTAGCAGTGACCCAACATGATATTCTATCAGTGCATGTGAGTAGCCGTGAAGATAAATTTGATTGGAGAGATGACGAAATCGTGAATCAAGGAAACTCCAAAATGCCAGAGAATGTTTAGGGTAATTATTCAATTGATTAGCTGACAACAGGCACATCGTCGTAGACCTAATTTAGTTCAAGACCAGAGTTCAACCAAAAATGATAATTCCCATAAATACAAGAACAAATGATCGGAAAAGCATCTACTGGCACACTCAGTCGGAAACAAAACCATAATTACAAACTGACATAACACTCTTAGAGTGACCGAAAATTTCACCTGTATACGCAGTTGGATTAGGAGGTGTTTATAGAGACAATAACGACTCATGAAATACATCAGAGAGCGCAACCGCCAAAGTAGTCAAGTTGAGTACGTGACTCATTTTAGGTGTCATCTACTATGATATTATTTTAATAAGGGTGGGAGAGTGAGTACAATAGGTGCATTAAAACATGGAAGTGACCCTGTTGTTGTGTGACAGGTCTTCTATGGTGTGTGGGGCACTGTAAGAGTCGTTGATGAGATTTAAGAACCTTACTCGCTAGTTAGAGGTCAGGTGATTTATTTAGCACCGAAATGCTTCAATGATTCATCTTACTTCAACTATTCCGTTACTTATTATTTCATCTTTGTATGTACTTCTGTACTGTGATAGAGGTAGGCCGTAGTTGGACATAGTAGCCAAATAGACTACCACGTCGGTAGATGACGTCTCATCTTGTTCATCTATATGTACAATGTCTCTAGTATAGTCTCCATGCGGTTGACGAAACCACGTCCGAGAGAATGTTTGTCAACAATAATTTAGCTTGAAACAATCTCGTATGTTTCAGTTGAAACCGTTGGAGACTAGTCACTCGGTAAGCCATACTTACGTACTCAATTTGATTGTCTTACATAGTTCCTGTCACTATGTATTTGAGTGTTTTATCCTACAGAGGCATTTAGAAAATGAATGAGATTTTCTTATTCTATATTGATTGTTATACAGTACTAACTATCTAAAGATATTCCTGTGACAGCTTATTACGGTTGCCTGACTGGTATTTTGGCGTATATTACACAGATACTTTTTGGTGTAAAGAATCGGAATTAATTTATCTCGTAATACATGATATTGAACCAATCGTCTAATAGTTTGATAATTTGTCGACAAAGCTCGTAGTAATATCTTCTGTTCATTCATCATTGAAGGTAACAAATCGTGCACTTCCAGTTAAACTGAAATTTGGACGTTTATATCTCGTTTAAGTTTTGAAGTGGCTCCTGTACATACATCTGCCCCGACAAGCTTGCATATCATGACATGAACTAATACATAGCTTCCGTATTATGATACGCTTAACTTTATATTTACGTTCCTCGGGAATTTATTTTATAGCATTCATTAAACTGATTTTAAAACTAATACTGTAATCAAGAAGCTTTATCATAATATATTTTATTAAAGAAAGTAACAATTAGTTAGAAATGGGTAGGCTACATTTTCACTATATTCATTGTTACCATATTCAGCCGTAGTATGGGCGCTTCTTTATGCTTCCTGAAAATAAAAAGCAATATATTTACTGACTTATGTTGAGGTATAAATACTTATACAGAAAGGGAGTCACAAATTACAATTTTGTTAGTGTTTATTTTGACGGAACTTTAGAGACTTAAATAACTGGTTTTTGTGTGACTACTATGAATAGGTAACCCAAACAACTAACTTCGAAAGTCATGCGCAACATTTTTATTAGGTTGCGCTGATGTGAAAATAATTTCATTTCATAGTTCTGGAGTTTTACTATGGTTCTGCTCTAACTCCTAAAGTGAGCATTACAATAAGAATTATTCTAATCAGTATGTATGTGATGACGGTTAAATGTCTAAATATCTTTACAGTGTTTTAGTGAAATGGAGTTTACAGCCTACGCAACTAGCCGATAGTTTTCGTAATCAATCTAACAATGTTCACCTCTCTCGGTCATCTGTATTTTGAATCTCGTTTGACAAATTATGAGACCATAATTCTTAAAGTTGAAGCCTATTTATGATGTGCAGTATTGGACTGAACGAACATGGAAGCCTAGTTAGGATGAGTAATCTGTTTGGACAAGATACAGTCTAGGAGACGAAAAGTGTACTTACTTTCTTACTTACTCCTGTTACCTCCAATGAAAGGCTTGTCTTGTGACTCAGTTGGGCGCTTTCTTCAATGTGTCCTATCCACTTCAGCGCCTTTTCCTGATTTCTTCCTCTGGAATCTGGTTTTTTCTCTCTCACAGTAGGCTGTTGCCGATAGTGTTTGGCCAACGGACCCAAATTATTCTGCGTATACAGCTGTTAATGAACACTTGTATCTTCCGGATGATAGCTTTCATAGTTCTCGAAGTTTCCGTCCCATACAGTAGAACTATCCTGACATCTGTATTGAAAATTATGGCTTAAGTATTTGTTGATAGATCTTTTGAGTTCCAGATGCTGTTCAATGGTAGAGATGCAGCCCTTGCTTTGCCGATCCGCGCCTTCACATCTGCATCAAATCCACCATACTCATCATTGATTCTGTCCAGATATGTAAAGGTGTGGTGTGTGATTTGGTTGGTGCATATTGTGTTGCATCGGAGAATCTGTCTTTCCCCTTTGTATATGTTGAAACTTACTGCTGCTGAAGCTGTTGCTACACTGGTCGTCTTCTCTTGCATTTGTTGTTGCTTGTGGGACAGAAGAGCCAGATAATCTGCGACGTCTAAATCATCCGGCTACATCGTGGCTGTCCTCTGTATCCCGTATTTCCCTCCGGATGTTGACGTCTTCATAATCTAGTCGATCACCAGGAGAAAAGGAATGGTGAGAGCAAGCATCCTTGCCTGATACCTGTCTACTTTTTAAACAGGTCTGCGAGCGGTCGTCCATGCACGATTTTGCAGTTTAATCCATCATAAGAGTTATGTGTGATATTGACTTTATTCTCAGACACGCTGTAGTGTTGAAGAAGGCTCTATGGTATACATGGTTGTAGGATTTAATTTGTCCTACAGATGAACTTCTAGCACTATAAACGCAATATTGGCGAGCACAGAGTCTATGGGAAAGCTATAGTTAAAACAAGATCATCTTCGCTTTAAACTTTATCTGTTTCGACCATTATAGCGTGCCTTATGAAAATAAATAAAGTTATGAGTCACATCAATATAATAAGATGATAATGTCAATCAATTTGTAGGTCATTTATAACAAAGAAGGTTTACAGATACGTCAGATCAGATCACCTGGTGGGTGCTTAAACCACAGTTTGATTGGTTAGTTATGACGTAACTACAATTAGTTATAAAATAACTGACAGTGGTGTACACCTTACCATAAAACATCCATTCGCAAAACAAATGCATTCTTGGCTATCTTTTTCCACTGGTCTTCTATTCCTCAAAATATCCAAATAGCGCTATAAATCCGTATCTGACACTTCTTTTTTGAACGTAACCTTAGGGTGATACTCTGCTGCATATCCATTGCTTAATACTTATAAATTCTGCGGTAAGTCGTACAAACCTCAGTTTGTCTTTCATTTATTGAGTTTTGAAATGCAATATAGGGAAAGCATGTTCCTTGCAGTTATTTTGTATGTTCAAGACAAAATGATGCATTAGTTGACTGCAGCGAAGATGGAGATTATAAAAGCAGTTGGAATGGTACTGAATGCTTTGCTATCTTAGTTTCTTTCTTGAACCACAGGGTTCGACCATCAAATAAAACATCCTATGCGCTTACAGTAGTTCATAGGTAAGGCTGTCGGTATCTCAGAAGTAGGAAAACAACTTGTATGATTTGTTTCCAATTCTTACAAATCAACACCTTAAGAATCTAGTCTCTTTTACGCCCTGGAAAGATCTTCCGAAGTAAATTTTTTTAATTCTAATTTTTTTGAACTACACTGAACTTAGTGAAGCTCACATGAACTGTAAACATGAAATAAGCACGCATATTTGCGTCTGTAGTTACATATTATCGGTAAATTTTCAACGAACTACATCGTAGTAGATGACTAACATTTCTCGAGTAAACATATTTCAAGTAATGCAGTTAAGTTTCGATGATGAACAGCACATTTACAGATCAATAAATAAAGCACCATGACATGATTTTTGAATGTATATTTACAATTCAGATTCATCTGTGTAATTCACTAAAACACGCTTGGCATTTTAAAAAGCAACGAACTAATTAATTACTTGGACTTTTACTTCTTGAGGGTATACATTTTCTCCGCCAAATTTCAGTCAATACTTCAATGTACGGGTCATCCGTATGATAATCGATCGTGTTTGCCAAAGTATTTCGTACAATATCCTGGCATAAAGCTGTGACTGAAATAACAGAAAATAAACAAGAAGTTGATTATGTAATTTGAACAAAGTATAAAGTAGTGAATGAAATACCTATATTGAATTTCATTTGAAAGGTGACAGAAATTTACTCAAGTGTTTTCCAGAACAATCCGTGTAATATGTACGTAAGAAAAAAAGCTGTTTTAGACGAAGGAAATTTGCTTGAATTTTAGGCCATATTTCAAGTTATCACCGTTTCATTGAATAGATCCCCGTCTATTATTGCAAGATAATAGGTTTACAGACAGAATTGTTTACTGAGTTTCAACTTTAATTTTTATTCATTTACGTCTCTTAATTTGAATGCAACGGGTTTGAATTGCATGAGAAATGACTTGAAAGAGATAGTCTCTTTCTATCTTAGACAATCGATTGATTTGATAATATATAATAAATTTTCCAGATTAAGAAAGCTAGCAAACTTTCTATTCCAGAATCATACTATCGAATTCATTTTCTCCTGATAGTCAATGACAGGCAGAAATTCCATCATGTTGTAAGAAATCTATGTAGAACTCACCATTGACCATACTTTACGTCCATTCACAAAGCATTTCGACTGTTAAGTGATTAGATTGAACTCTGGACCACGTGGTTAGGAAAAACTGTCAATCACATTTGAAATTATAGAAAACTCATTACAGATTTAGTAAAGTATAGTGCTATCTGTAAATGTGTAAAAATTTGTAGTCATTTCAATAACTTGTCCATTATTTTATACTGACTGTCTGTGGTTTCAACTTAATTGAGTTTGATTTGAATAAATCTTCAAACAGAAGAGTGGATTTATTGTATTACACATAACAGTACTCAAATTAATTGATTCATCTGTAATTCTGAACACAACTATTTTCGTTACATGTTAAGTTTTTATTTTATGTTAGAATGTCTATCAGAGATATTATTTCGTAAAACTTTTTTCCTTCTTTTAACAAAGCGGCTAACACAACAACAAGTACATTGCTGTAAAATGATTTAAATAATTAATGCAACTAAAGATCTATATCATTTCTATCCCTTTTTCTTGCTTCACATCTATATATGCTGCAGAATTACCATGTTATTTACGCATAAACATTTATTCTTGAAGTCTCATCTAACCATGTTAATCAACAAATATATATTTGTCATAATCCCCTTGAAACAAATAATGTACACATTATTTTTAAAAGCTACTGTACGCATATTAACTTCACCAACAAATTAAGCTTATTTCTCTGTACTTCTTTCTTTCCTCCCATCATCTTAACACAAAAAACGCGGGATAATTTACATTACCGTTTTGTTGAACATGCTAACTGCTTCTTGAATTATTCCTTTTTTTTCTTTGCGTTAATAATTTAGGTAAAAATAGTTTTATTTAAGTTTTGATTTATACGACAAGTGAATTGGAAAAAACATAACATTATATATTAATACCTACATATATTGCAAACATATTTCGATAATTATTTATCCATATAGTGTTTGTTAATGTTTATTAATTAAAATTAGTTAAATGACATACTTTTTAATTAAAAAGGAAAACCTAGTGATATTAGCATTCAAATGAAAAGTAAGTGAATAGTGTCGTTCAAGTTGATTACTGCTTGATATTGAGGTTCAGTTTTGAGAAATAGATTCAGACATACCGGAACCGAAATGGCAATATTACTTGCAAGTGGGCAGATGACGGCATAGTATGTGATATTTTCTAGTCATTCTCAATTTCTGAACTAGTGTGACTGTTCTCTACCAAAGTGAAAGTAACATGTTTCGTATTTTAACATTGACTGATCCTGCAATTCTTTGCTGTCCGATAGTTTTAGTGATTAACTTGAAAGTATCTTATCCTTTGTACAACTAAGGAAGATCTAAGTACACTATATTAGCGAATTTTAACAAAGAATAGTGCGTTAATCTAATGCATGATACGAATAACCAAGCCAGTTAACTTTTGTAATTAATACATTGTATTTTGAATACTCATTATATTGCGCTGTGTGCTACTTATAAGTAGTATATGACGTGAGTGTCAACGCAATGTCTGGCAGCAGAAGACGGGGGAAGATCAAGAAAGGAAGAGTTAGAACACAATGGAATTTGTATGAAACGCATGAATAGTGACAATGGATTGATGTTTTGCAACAGGAACAGTCCACTCCGATGTGATGAACTGATACAATTCGGTTGCCCTCACCTGTGTTCTCGTTCACTAAAATATGATATGTCAGTGTTACCGTGATTAGTTAACCATAATATTGTACTTGAAGAGTATCTTCAATATGATTCTTTTAACAGAATGTCAAATCAGATATATTTTGGAGGCTTTAAAATATCTGATGATAAATTACTCGAAATCCTACCTATCTTATATAGCATAGTTGTTTATGACAGCTGTCAAAATCGTTTCAGAACAATCCTCCTAGAATATTGGCAGAATAATTCAAAATGATTTTTTTCTCGTTTGTTTTAAGATTTATAGTGTTTTGCGAAGTGTTATGATTCAAATAACAACGAAACGAAATCCCAACGACAGCTGAATTTTGATTAAATACTCGTCTCCATTCTACTTTAATTACTCAATTAACAGATTGTGAGTGATGTTTATTGACTTGCTAATAAAACGTAAAGCAGATATGAACCATTGATATATGTTCTTGTGTAAAAGATGCGAAAAGTAACAATTTTCGAGATGTTCCAGATCAACTACATTAAAACGTCACTATGAGGTTATGGAGATAATTAAACTTCACTGAAATCACTAATCGATGTAAGTTAGTCAACCAATGAAAACTTGGACGGTATGATACAATTTAACAGTATTTAGTGTTAGATTTGTTTTATAGCTGAGGTCAACATATGTAAGTGACATGATCCACACGATGACCCTAAACTTTTGGCTAACCTAAGCAAATGTATATGACGTAAATTAGTAGACTAATAAATATTACATATTTACACATAAAGATAAAGTGAATAGTATTTTTCGCCTGTAAATGTGACATTGATTAACATGAAATAATGCTCAAAGTTTTTATCAACATATTTTATAACAATAATTAAAATCGCTTGAAGAAAATTACTCAAGAAAACTAAACATGTTATACTTGTCAATTCTACAGTCTTTAAGACATTGTGAAGAGAATTTATGATAAAAAAAATAGGTTTCTATAATCATATAATGAATAATTCATTATAGTAGAAATAAAAGGAAATTCTGACGAGTCGTGACTTCTTCACATAATAAATAAGTAAATAAATTGAAGTAATTTGAGTTTAAATAATTGAAAGGAACAAAGCGAAGCACATTAAGTACAATTGTAACGTACAGAAAAGACAAGACCATTTAGGTAGATATAAATTTAGAGAAGACACGGTCGATTTACATTCATTCGCGATTCAAGCAGGCATCTGATTGTCTTCTCTTACACCTCTTCTGGTCTTCAATATACTCTGATCTTGCTGAAAAGTATAGTCTTCAGGCGCTTTCTCTTGAAAACGCCTTTAAAGTGACTCTGCACAACAAGCTACTTTTATGCCACCTTGTGAATATCACCCACTACTCAACCAATCGAAGAAAGGTCTAACAAAGTCAATGTCATGTCACTCTGATCCAGGTGATTTAATGAGACATACTGATGTGTCTGAGTGTGTAATAATTGGTGTGCAAAATGTGACTTGTAACGTGAAAGAACAGAACTAAATATGTATGCACGATAATAGTGCGAGACATGAATCGAATCAGACAATGTAGTTCGGATGAATAGTAAGGCCTTCTTTCCACTGAGAGTAATGGGATTTAGCAATATATGGTAAGACTCAATTACTCCAGTTTCTTTGCAGCTGGTAAAGCAATTTTATTTTATTTTAATATTTTGAACGTCGATTCGATGGATATTTAAGACGAGATGAATTGCCAGTGCCGATCTAACTTGCAGTCTTCCAAGTCTTCTAGGATTGTTAGTTGGTTTTTCTGTGTATCCAAGAAGGTCTTTGACTGGAGTGAAGATTTCACGAGATAACTCTACAATACAGAAAGCATCGAAATCGACACACGCTAATTAGCAGCATGGTTCGGTGTTGACATGACGGTAATTTTATCATCCATACAATCGAAAGCACTTTAAAGAGTGTAAGTTGTTTGTAGTATGCTCTTATTCTGTTATTTCAAGATCCTTCGGAGATTTTCTGTTGTATCATGGAGGCATGGTAGAACTACGGTGCCAATTCTTATTATCTCCTAGGAACTTAGTAATAAATCTTCACGTTCAGTACATTTTCATTGACGGTCATAGAGAAATTACTAAATTGTAAAGTGTCAGTTGTATGCTGTTCAGTTGTAATAATCTTACTTGCTCTTCTAAAGAGATTTAAAACCAGAGAAAGATTTGCATTGAAAGAATGTGCTGAATTGAAAAGAGTGATACAAACAATTTGTATGTACCGCCAGAAATTTGTGATCGAAATTTCTCAGGCAATTCATCATAATCTTGCGAAATAAAATCTCTTCAAAAGTCAGTAAGAACATGTATCAGCATGTAACTACAAAGATCGAAATCAAAATTAAATATGTTCAATAAAATGTGTTAGGTAAAGGAATCTCTTGAGAGAACATTTTGGTTGATGATAATTCATCACATGCATATACGTATTGTTTCTATCACTCACTCTCTTTTATGCTATTTTAACGAAAGTGTTTAAAAGGTTAATAATGGATTCTCAACTAAACTAATGATCATAACAATATTGAAACTAGCTTAAAATGATTGATAAAGATAAAATGAACAGTTGCTTAAATCATATTCAAATTGTTTGATTCAGTAAACATGATAGATAACAGCTTAATCTCATTTGTCTAATACCTCGATAAATATCCTGTGATAGCCGCCATTAAAAAAAATATAGCTATTTGTGGCTTTACACATTGGTGAATTCACGTATTAAATGATCAAATTATAATTAATCTTGTTCTATCTCTTTAGTACTCTTTCATCAGA